GTGAACCTATGCTCTTTTGGAAGTCTCCGCACTTTCAGCTGCAGTCGTTCGACTGGTTTAGGACTAATGAAGCTTCTCGAAGCCCCAGTGTCAAAGACGGGCTCACAAGGACTCCCAGCGAGCTCAACGCGAAGTACCGCCGTCGCACCCGCACAACACAACGCTCCCCCTTGGTCGTAAGACTCTTTTGTGCATGTCTCCCTCCACCAGTGTGGCACAATCCCTGTGGCGTCTGACCTATAGCCGTCTTCTGTTGCCTCTGCAGACTTCCTGCTGCTATCCGTCGTCGCTTCCGGAGTCTCTTCACTCAGGATCGACGCTGACCCAGACTCCCGCCGCGTTTCCGAAAGCGGCTGCGTCCCTTCCGCGTGCCCATCGCTCGTATTAGTTCTTTCCGCAGTGATGAGGACTTGGTTTCCTCACTCAAGGGTGAGTGGAATGGCATTCGGGCCTGTCGCTACTGCACACATCATCCCTTTGCCATAGCTACGCGGCCTAGAACGCTCGCCTCCAACCACGCCTAGGCCCGCAAGTTTAATCGTTCCGTCTTCTCAGTGCTACGACGGGTGGGCTCCCTACTGCTCTTGTCCGCCGGCTCGGGCCGGCCTCGTTCATACGTAGGACAGTCCCGAGCATAGTGTCCCACACCACCACACTTCTTGCATATTTCTCCCGGACGTTTGGTACGTTTCCCTTTGCTGGGGCAGACACGTGCCGGATGTCCGCGACCCTGACACTCAAAGCAGTTTGTGTGGGTCCCCCCAGGGCGATTTTCAATTTCCTGGCGCCCACGGGGTCCATTTGCTTGGATGGCAGCCCTAGTGGTTCGACTAGTCCTTTCTCGAAGTTCCCGCACACTCTACTTGGGCTCGTAGAGCCGTGTTGCGGCTGTCGCCGCTTGTCCCCACGACTGATATTTCACCTGTCCGTTACTGGTTATTAGAAGATGGAGGTCTGTCGGTAGCCCGGTGCAGTAATAGTCAGCGAGTTCGTCGGCGGCAAGACGCAACCCACAGTCCGCTACAGCCGCAAACCGGTCCGTGTATTCCTTCGGGTTACCATTCCACCGTACTTCAGCCAACTCCGTTAACAATTGACTCTGCGACATTGTTTTGTCAAACCGCTCCAAAAGCCTGCGCTGTGCTGCTGCCCAGTCGCTTAGGTCGATAGTTACGTTAGAGCCGGGCCCACAAGGTGGTCAATAAATGCATTTCCCTACTCGCGCGGTTCCAATCCCATCTGGGTGTACCGGCGCTCGATGCGCAGCAGAAAGGCCTGCATAGTGCTGCCGCCTTGTGGTAGTATGGGAATCGTTGCGCCGGATTCCATGGTCCCCCCCCTATAACAGTTCGTATCACACTCATAGCGGACTGGAATTGGTCCCACGTGACGGAGGGTGGCACCTGCGGTCTTCTGTGGCTCTTGTGGGCCTCACAGCCACCTTTCTGAGCCGTCCCCTGGCATAACATTGGTCATAGGTATCACCTGCGGGGGCGCCTCCTTATGCCCATGCGGCCGCTCTGCCACGGTGGGCTTCGGAGTCGCATGGCGATGGTGGGCTGGCGTCCCGCTCGGTATTTTGTTGACTGACATTGTAGAAGTCTCCTGCGGTGTGGGGCCGATAACGCGTCCGTTGCGGAGATGCGTCACTTACCGAGCGAAGATTTCTAGGCGTGAGCTATTAAAACATATTATTCCTACTCCCAAGTCCGGAATGAACAAAGATTTCAATCCTGGAACAGCCCCCAAATGTAGTGCACAGCGCCTACTGCTGCGACTACGCTGCTACCTGCCCCTCGAGCAGGGGCCTTTGATCAGCGCCTAACGTCGGCCCATTTCCTTGAAACAGCAGCTCAAATATAACGAAATACAGGTACTTTTATTTTTCCCCAAAGTCTGTTATCTTGAAAATCCCCCACACTCGGGGTGCTCGCCTCCTAGGCCTTGTGGGGAGGGGGCCTGCACCGGTGCCGGCGCTATCGCCAGCCCCAGTCTCCACGTATTTAGGGGCATCTCTGGTGTATGCATGTTAATTCGCAGACAAATTGCCTTGATTTGATCCTAGGAAGAGGGTCCTATCTTGCTCCACTGTTGCGACCTCTTGTAAGTCGCTAGCTAGCTATAGGTCGTCAGCAAGCCGTACTGTAGTGCCTGTGCACTACAACTGGCCTGGCTTGCGGTTGTAACTCCACCGCCTACGTGGAGCCATGCATGCAAGGTCTCGCCTTTAGGGAGGCAGGATTATATGAATATATTTCCAACGATTCCTGACTCTAGAGTGAAGTTAGCCTTACCTTCATAACCGAACAGTAAAAGGGTGACTATGATGTTTTGGTCAGCACTGCTTCGCATAGTAAGATGCCCTACTTCATTCGCACGAGGAAGAAGGAAACGGAGAAGGCCGCTCATCTGCTGGCGGACAGATTTAATCTTTATAAGGGCTTCCCAAAAGTACTTGCTTTTAAAAGAGAACTGTACATTCCTCCTGAGCTATATCACCAGCTGTTGCGTGGCTTCAAATTCACACGATCCATGCCAGCTATTCACTACCTTTGAAGCGGTAGGCAGAGCCTGCACAGCAACCTTACTCCAAAGTAAATACTCCAGGCGTCCATCTACACTGACAAACGCAGGTGGAAGCACATGCTTCCTCACCTAGAGCTTGCTTACGACACCACTACTCATTCGTCTACCCACTGTGGTCCTTTTAAAGTCATCTTATATGCCTTCGATGAGACAAATCGAGACCTTGACTTTCTCGGGGACTGCGCACACACTTTTAGTTCCCCGTTGAGTAGATTGTTTCTGTGGGTGGAGCAAAAACACAGAGTCATACCATACGAGCTAACTACCAGCGCACAAGCAGCAAACGTGGAGAAGCTGAGCACACGGTTGGGGATCGAGTTGCTTCAGTCGTCTGAAGTTGCTTCTTTAAATTTACGCTGCACGTTTGAGCCCTTGGTGCGATGGAACTTTGGCACGTATGAGCGCACTATCTCAGTAACTTCCATCTAGCCACATTTCCCATAATGTGTTTCGCGTCCCTCAGCTTGTCGCAGGCTGTCCTCGTGAAGCCCACAAGGTTTCTAAAAGCGCTGCAGCTGCCTGATGAACGGGGGAGGCTACTCTGAAGACCATGTCATATAGAACCCTTTCAGCAGCCACAATGGCTGTAGTTCTCTCCTCCGCGCGTGGAGGCCACACCGAAGCAAAACGCCCCATAAGCAAAGGGAGCTCCACAGCAGCGTGATACCATCGCTGTGTCTTAGGGACCTCCGGCGAAGCAGTTGCTCTCGAGACTTGCTTGGTGGGGCTAGTGGACATGAACGTCTTAAAGCTCAAAGTAGCTACAGAGAGCTGTCGAGTGCTGCTGTGAAGGTCCACATCATTCTTTATGCAAGGCTTGTAGCGATTTCGGCGACTTTCACCTGCAGTGCCAGTGTTGCAGCAGCGGGACACAGCAGAGGCCTCTATCGGTGACAAAGCTTTGGGCCGCATCTAATTAGACGCGAATGGTGCCCTAACTGCATCAGCAAAGGTAATGTCATCAGAAGCAGGACCAGCTGCGACAATAGTTGCATCAAGGAAAGCGGAGAACATAGGGGGTCTAATGAGTTAAGAAAAAAACGTTGGCGTCTCCTACGGAGAGCTGGAGCTCTAAGTCTCTGCGGCAGCAGCAGCCGCAGTTGTGCAACGGTTACAGTAGTACAGCATAGGTGGATGCCCCGTATTGATACTGCAAGTTCCCGAGAGTCCCCTGAGTTATTGTTCATGCTGGGTACTGTTCACGTATATGCACTGTCAGGTAGCCCACATTTCTTCAAAACTGACTCACTTGTAATACGCCAAGCAGAGCTTGGTGCGTGAGTTTCCTAAAGGGTCTCGCTGGTATGCAGGCATTGCCTCCAGGTAATTTCCCACCTTAATGCTTGTCTGCAACTTGTCGCTAGCACAACTAGCCGCACAGGAAATTGTGCCTTTGAACGGCTTTAGCATTCTTCGGTGCATCTTACGAGTGTCTCAATGATGTAGCTTGCTGCAAAGACTTAAGGTCCTTCAGGACTAGTGTAACACAGCAGCTGGATCTCCGGCAGGTAGATCGGCTACTTTGGCTACGGCATCTACCACGAATGCACTAATGCAGGCTTGTCGAATTGATGAGGCAATGTCCGAAAAGCACAGTAACTGTCGGCTTCCCTCTCTGCTGCCCGGCCCCTTGCTGCCTTGAGTACTTACGCGGCGCTGGATAACACTCCGCTGGCGCCAAGTGAAGAAGTAAACTTTTAGTGGAAGCCTCTCTGTGCAGTGGAAACTGAGCGTCCTGACGGCCTTTGTGAGCCATTATACTTCGCGCGGAGGTAAAGACTACATTTCTGGACCAGTTTCCGAAGTGAAGCTGCTTCGCTGGATAAGAAAAATGCTTGCTTGTTGTGATCAGCGTGCGAACTCCCTACATATCGATTCCGGCATCTTGTTATTAAAGGCTTTGCCCTGCAGAAGTGAATGGGTGAACCCCCAGTCATGCCTGACAGAAAAACAGAGTACTAAAATAATTTGTGCCGAGCAGCCGATGCTGCAAATTAGCTCCAAATAGAAAGCCGTGCTTTGCCTCTTGAGGGGCTACACCAGTCGCCCCTTTCGAAACGACGCCACTTATAAAATAATTGGTGTGGCTTGCCAGGAAGCACTTCGTCAATCGACAGTTAAGCCAAAACATCGACTCCACAGGCACTCATGCACAACACACAGGTAACGGCCACTAATAAGTCGCGGCGGCCTTCAACCACTTCATGCTTGCAGCAAATGTGCTCTGGCGCCTTCTGCTTGTGTTACACGCTTCGGTACTGCTGCAGTAAGCGGTGT